AGCTGACCTGGAGTCCAGCATGGGTCTGGCCTGGCCGTCAGTTTCCTTTCTTAGCAACTCCTCTTCCTTCAGATCTCATACATTACTCCCCCAACTCCCCCCCCCCCCACCCCATAATCCTAGTTCAAGGTTCAGGATCAGACCTGTCCCCTCTGTAACACTTAGTCTCTGTTGTGATTTTCTCTGAGGTCTAGCTCCTTCTTCCCCGTTAACTACCAAAACAGGAGGACTGCATCCTTCTTTCTTATAATTGGACCCATAAGCACTCAGCTCAGGGCCTGGCACCTACTAGGCACTCATTAAATATTTGTTGAATGGGGCCGGCCCCATGGCCCAGTGGTTAAGTTCCCACGTTCCGCTTCGGCGGCCCAGGGTTTTGCCGGTTTGGATCCTGGGCGCGGACATGGCACCGCTCATCAAGCCATGCTGAGGTGGCATCCCACGTGCCACAACTAGAAGGACCCAGGACTAAAAATATACAACTATGTACCGAGGGGCTTTGGGGAGAAAAAGGAAAAATAAAAACTTCAAGAAAAAATTAAAAAAAAATTTGTTGAATGAACAACAGTTGATTCCTGGCCTTGGGTAAGCTGCTTATCCTCTCCAGGCTGACTGCCTATATTAAGGAGGATTAAGTCCTTGTAGGGCTGGAATACCAAGGATCTTGGGGATACACAGCTCTAATCTTCCTATTCCCTCACCTATACACAAACCATCTCTCACTGAGACATCCTGGAAGGGGAGTCCTTGTCTTCAGACCAGCGACTCTGGGTGACTGTCACACACAGATATTTTGTTATTGTTAGTGCCGTTGAGTCAATTCACCTTCCGACGCTGTATCAGACAAGGCTCCACTGCTATTCATAGGGTTTTCATGGCCAATTTTTTTCGGAAGTGGGTGGCCAGGTCCTTCTTCCTAGTCTGTCTTCATCTGGAAGCTCCGCTGAAACCTGTCCACCATGGGTGACCCTGCTGGTATTTGAAATACGGTGGCATAGCTTTCAGCATCACAGCAACACGCAGCCACCACAGAATGACAACCAACAGATGGGTGGTGTGGTTCCCTGACGGGAACATGAACCTGGGCCATGGGGGTGAGAGCACTGAATCTTAACCATTAGACCATCGGGGCTGGCACACAGATATTAGTCCCCTTTTCTGACCTCTTACGACAGGGTGGGATCTGGGTATCTCTATTTTTAGTAAATATTTCAGGTGATTCTGGATAATTCTCTTTCAGGGACCAGGAACCATCATACACAGGATGTGTTTTGAAATAAGCAAAACCCGAGTTTGGATTCCCTGGGGAGGCGTGATCTCTGGAGGGACACCTAGGACTCCATGTCGCATGTGCCAATAGTAACCTTTTTACTGCAATCACATCTTACCTCCATTTTTAAAAAGTCTAAAAAAGAAAATCTGAACCCATAGCATTTCTACTCTTCAGGTATGATTTTCGTCATGATTCTTAACAACTGGATTTTAAGCATCTTTTTGATTTTGGTTACTCTGATGGGGGCAATGAGAATTTAAATTCGCTGTTCTTCCGGATAACTACTGAGTGTCAGTATTCATCCACTTGTTAATTTGTATTTCTTTTAGAAATTGTCTGGAGAGCCCTCTTTTTTCTTTAACTGTTCTCCCTAGGTGGCATCATCCCTTCTTAGCGCTTCTAAAGACACCTTTGTGCTGGTGGCTCAAAATTCGTCTCCAGCCTGATCTGTTCTGGACCATCAGTCTTCTGCATGCAGCATCTAACGGGAGCATCCTCTTGCCTTGCTGAGTGGAATCGCCAGATTCATGGATCCAAAACAGAAATCCCGTGACATGCTACGACACGGATGAAGCTTGAGGATATTATGCTAAGCAAAATAAGTGAGTCACAGAAGAACGAATATTGATGATTCCACTCATATGAAGTATCTGAAGTAATCAAAATCACAGAATCATAGAAACAGAAAGTAGAAAGGGGGTGACCAAAGGCTAGGGGGGAGGGATGGAGAATTAGTATTTAGTTCTGTTGAGGTTCAGTGTCGCAAGACGAAAAAGTGCTAACTAGAGTTCTGCTGCACAGCAATGCGAATACACTTCATATACTAAACTGTACACTTAAAATGTGAAAATGTAGAGTTTAAGATGATAAATTTAATGCTATATGTTTACCATAATAAAAAGAAAAAGAAAAAAATGTAAATATAACTTGAAGTTTTATTTAAATATACCTTAATTCTTTTTATTTTAAAAAACTGGTAAACATTTGTGGAGCACTTATATTGTCTTAATCTTGGGCACAAAGTTTTCATGTATTAATTCCAGTTTTCACATTTGAATGGTAAGATACTGTTAAAGATAAACTGAACCATATTAAAATTTTTGAGAGTTTGAGAAAAAACCCATTTGAATTGGGCAGTGCCAAACTGGAAGTGGTTAGGAGCGCTCTCCCTTAATTCTTCGAGCAAGTTTTCTCAAATACAAAAGGTATGTATTCTTTGAAAAAAACCTAGCAGAATTATAATATTAACTTGGGGTGTAATCTTAAATAAAAAACTGCCAAGTTAGTTGCCAATACCATCAAAGAACCCAGCAGTGTTTTGATGTCTGTGTGGAAGGACAGAAAGGGAGCTGAGGGAAGACGGAGGGGGGATGCTATGACTCTGCGTGAATTACCCATCCCAGGACTCACTTTCCACTTCTTTGTATGGGAAGTGGTCAGCACCACCTCTCAGTGGTGAGGCATAAATTCAATTGGTTGTTTCGGTGAAGCACTGTTCACATAACGTGGTTAATAACTGGGCAAATGAGAGCTGTTCTCAGTGAACAAATGAGAGAGCCAAACACATTGTGGGAAACACCAGTCTAGAAGAGAGAGTCTACAGGTTCTTCAGAAAACATCCATCCTATTTATGATATTTCCCATTCAGACTTTTCCTTCAATTTGGCAATATATTTTAAAACAGCATGAAGTATCTATGGTGACGTAGGATAAAAAGAAATGACAAATAGGCACTTGTAGAATGGAACACATAGGTTACTCCTACTCAGAGATAAACAAAGGGGACTATGCTATACACAGACTCCTACTCAGACACTCTTCTCGTACATGCATAGCCTCTTTGGAAAGGTCCAACAAGAAGCCATCAACAGCAATTAGCTCAAAACAGGCAAATAGAGATGGGAAACTCTATCTCTCGGTCACTGTGTGACTCCAGTCTACCATGTGAGGCTTTTCTGTCACACACAGAAGATCATGTGACTTTGTGAAAACCATAACAGCAGAGAGTTGTAGAGAACAGGCATTTGTCCTCCTGACAGAGGAAAATCCTTATGCTCTTCTCTCAGGAGTTGTCAGTCCTCATGGAGGGAAGTCCAAAACCTTTATTCTGTGGCTCATCTCTCTCTCCTCTGCACTGTAGCTCCCTGCTGGTGTTACCCTTGTGTTCCAGGCTGCTAGCCAGAGTCCATGGATAGCAGGCACTCAACAAATTTTTTGAATGAGCTGTCAGTGAATAGGATGTCAGGTAGATGTCATCCATATTAATGAAAAGAAACTGACAGATATCAAGTCTAGAGGTGTAGACTGTCACCACTTGGGTAGTAGCTGAAACTGTGTGCTGTGGGTGAGATTGTCAAAGATATCACAAAATGCCAGTCATCAAGGAGGACTTGTTTGAAGAATATTCCCAGGTCCTCCAAAGCAAGATTCAGATACATTCCACCTAGGGATGCCTGCTCCTACAGCCGCTTTGGCACTCTCCAGGCATCAGCTCCTCCCCCTCTTCTCCAACGGCCCTGTGAAGCCCCCACCTCTAGAATGAGCAGGGAAGGGAGAGATGTTACTGGGAGCTTGTCTGCTGCACATGAGCCTGTGGAGGTTGAGAACTACAGAACGAGCTTGTGAATCCAGAAAACCTCTTATCTCAAGTTCCTGTGCCCTGTGCAGTAAGCCAATCACTGAGACATCTGTGCTTGGAGATGGAGCAAGGTTTATTCAAATTGTCCAAAAGAAAAAGGCGGGAAGATAGGTTCTCAAATCTGCCTTAACAAGAGAAGAAGGCAGGGAGTTTTATAGAGCTAAGGGGCTTGGTGGGAGAAGTTTCAGAGAAACAAAGGGGTAATCCATATTTCTTTCACTCCCAATAAGCCTCTAGGCTATCTGGCTTCTGGGTGTCAAAGGCAGCCGGGGGTTGGTTATCTGGTGATCATAACTTCTTTGAAGGCATTCTGTTTCTTCTGTAAAACAAGCTCATAAATCCTTGTGACCCTTGAGTCACCCCCGGGTTAAACAAGAATACAGGAAATTGACAAGATTAACTGCTTTTCATCTGTGTCTGTGTTGGGGACAAGGTTGAACAGTAATCATGTTCTTATTGAATATTTACAGTAACCCTCAGGCACCCAGCTTCAGACTCAGTCTGGAAACACCTCCTTAAGGGATATGTCGACACAAAATAACCAATAACCGTTCTACAGATAAGAGAAACAAGGTGAGTTTTACTGGAACCAGAGTGAGGATGATAACCCAGGAAGGCCTTTTCCAGAAAGGAAGAAAGCGTTCTGGAAAAGCATGGTTTTCAGCACTGTCTTATATCTTTTTAGAACAAAGAGCATACATGAAACATCCAGGATACATTTTCAAAGTTTCAAAGAGGTATTTAGTTGCAAATTAGCAGGCCAACATGACCCTGATGTTGGGAAAAGGACTAATACAGGCGTTACCAACAGGGCATAGGAAGCTCCCTATGCCTTTTTTTTTTTTTTTTTTTACCAAGAAAACAAAACAAAGACTTATTTTTTTTAATTGAACCAGTGACACCATATAACCTTCAGAGTGGAAACATCTGCAAGCATTTGAACAAAGGGGAAAAGTTAGAAACACCTCAGTTTCTTGGCAACACTGAGGTCCAAGTATTCATCCAGAAAGCTGTTTGCAGTCCCCAGGGTGCCCGGGACCATCAACGGCCAAAATCCCCAGACTCAACCCGAAACCAGTGACCCTTTTGTTAGCAGCTTCTGAATATCCCCAGATATACTGGTGATGGGCATAGAGGTACAGCTGACCCAGAAAAGTAGCAAAAACTTGATTGAAATACCATCCGGCCATCCACAATGTAATCACGACTGTGGGGTAAAACTCCCCATAGTTTTGTTGTGCATGAAATATTCTGTCAAACTCTGGTGACCCAGAGACTGCCAAGGGCATAATTTTGTATTTTAATCTTGCCTTTCCTACCTGCAAAGCAAAATAACTTTGCTGACAGACAGGGAAGACAGAGACAGCAGCCAGCAAGATTGAATTCCCAGCCATCTTTCCGATGGAACGTTCTGGTTCACGGATAGGTACGTATTTCTTATCTTGAGAGTGCATTCTTTACTTTAATAGCTAAAGCAGAAGTACAACGTATGTTTGATAGGCCAGATGTCAGGCTTCTTTAGTTCAAACCAAATTAGTCTGAACCCAAATAGTACCCCATATACCTCAATGTGTGAAAATTTCTTGACAGACAGAAGGAATTAAAACTGCTTGAGGAGGAACAGGCCAAGGCTATTGGTGAAGTCGTATATTTGCCTGCTTGAGAAAGTCAAGATGAGGTCTTTTCAAAGTATTCAATGGACCCAGAAATAGATGACTGATTAAATCAGAGGAGTTTCAGTGGAGAAGTTGCAGCAGATTAAAACAAGAGACTTCCGGAATCAAATCTTCCACCCCACCCCCACCCGCCCGACCCACGCCCTTGTGCAGAAGATTCCATCAGAGAGGAAGACGGGAAATGTCATCAGGGGTCTGTCCTTTCCCTGTGGCTGATTGCATCTGCTGTCTGTCCAATGGGATAAAGGAAGGGAAACACCCTACAGGATGATAAGGCTGAAAGGAACCAGGTTCAGAACTCTGCGGTAAATGGAGAGGCTGTGCTGTGTTGCCAGTTTTGATGTGGACCAACAAAGATTTGACTGATTCACGCGGAAAGGAGAAGCTCTCAGGGCAAGTTGGTGCTGAGGGCAGCACCATCCCTGCCTTGGGGATATAGGAGCAGTTCCCACTGCCGGCAGACTCAGGACCCACATAGAGTTGGCTTTGGTGCACGCAGCTGGAACGACAAGTGCAGGTAAGCCTAGACTCAGGGAAGGGGCAGGAGCCTTGGGCGGGGCAGTGGGGTGGAGGAGGCACTGAGCTCTTGGGCAGAAACTGGGGGTGGGGTGACCCTGCCAGGGTACCTCACCCCGCTCCAGGAGGACAGAAAATGAGAAACGGACCTAACCAGGGTGCTCTGGGAGGCTGCTCTGATGAAGTGTTGATTAGATTCATTTTTTTTTTTTAAAGATTGGCACCTGGGCTAACAACGGTTGCCAATCTTCTTTTTTTTCTTCCCAAAGCCCCCCCAGTGTACAGTTGTATATTCTAGTTGTGAGTGCCTCTGGTTGTGCTATGTGGGACGCCTCCAACTAACCACTTGGCCACGGGGCCAGCCCTGATTAGATTCATTTTGAAGACACTTTCTGGCCAAGACAGTGTTAATGGAGTCTGGTTCAGAGGAGGATGCAGTGCTTGGGGGGCAAGAGGGGCAAGGTCCAGCTGTGGTTGTAGATAGTGACCCAATAATATTAGCTGGTATGATCCTTATGCCTGGCTTCACTCTTGCCGCAAACTGAATTCATCTGATTTGGGAGATTTATGTGGGGTTAGAGGAATGGGGACCAGGAGGGAGATGGAGTTAGAGTGGAAGGAGCAGGAGGGCAGTTTTATGTCAACTGTGAAGAGAAAGAGAGGAGAATCAAGGATCTCAGAGCTTTGAAATGAAGGAAAAGTAAAAGATGAGCCTCGAAGGAAAAAAAAGAAGCTGGCTTGGCTGGAATGGGGGCAGCGACACATTGACAATAATGGTTAGCTTTTTAAAAAATGGTTTTTTATTAGACAGATCTGAAAACATATAAAATAGTAAGGAAAATAGTACAATGAACCCTATGTAGCCATCTATAAAATTATGTCCCGAGTTCATCTGCCCATCAAATTATGAAGCAAACCCCAGACCACATGTTAGTTTGTGTGTAAATACTGCACTAGGATGTCTAATGGAGAGAGCCTCTTTTTAATAACAAGCCCATAATATCATTAATGATTTTTTTTAATAATGAGATTTCTACTATTCCAATTGACTTTTAGTTTATTTTGTTTGTTTCAGAACTATATGTATTTGGGCCAGGAAAATAACTTAGGTCAATCTTTGTCACTGATATACATGCCTTTCATTACCTTAATATATATTATTCTGTTTTTTTCTTTGATGTTTTATGTTGAACAAATCTGGTCAATTGTCCTGTTGCGTGTCGACATCTGGAATTCGTGACATGGTCATAATTTCCATCACTTCTTGAAGTTGTAGCTCTTTGCTGACAAAGGGGACTAACAAGCCAGGGTGCAAGGGAGTAAAGGTGATCCAGAGCCAGGGGATCAGTGATTGCCTGGGCCATATCTCCTCCTGGCAGCTGCTTCTAGAGCTGAAGGGAAAGACGCAGAAACAGACTCATGGGGTTATAGCTTCCTGAGACCCTGGGAACACTTGGGGCTGCCTTCAGGAGAGCGACTGCTGAGGAGACATCAGCTTCTCACCTTTCCTAGTTCCTCGAGGATCACCCTCACTGAGGACAGTCTCCTCAAACAGACACCCTCCCTGCACAATGGCCTTTGCAGCCTCCCTGGCTGAGCTCCAGGCAGAGGCCAGCTGTCCCATCTGCCTTGATTACCTGAGAGACCCAGTGACCATTCACTGTGGGCACAACTTCTGTCTGTCCTGCATCCACCAGCGCTGGGAAGACCTACAGGTCATCTTCCCCTGTCCTGTGTGCCTCCACCACTGCCCTGACAGGAACTTGAAGAAGAACTCCCAATTACGTCACATGACTGAAATTGTTAAGCAGCTGCCCACCACGAGGAGCAAGAGGAAAGGGCAGGAAGAGACGCCCCTGTGCGAGAAGCACAGTCAGGTTCTGGGCCTGTTCTGCGAGGAGGAGCTGGAGCTGTTGTGTCCCCAGTGCGGGGTGTCCTCTGACCACCGGGATCACCTAGTGACACCCATTGAGCAAGCTGCCGCTAGTCACAGGAGGAGGCTCAAAAGCTACATTGAGCCCCTGAAGAAGCAAGTTGAAGACGCTGAATTGGAGCGTGAAATCCTAGTTGCAAAATCTCCTATTGAAGTTCAGCAGAAGATGAAAAATTGGAGGGGAGAGTTACACTCTGAGTTTGAGGAACTTAAGGATTTCCTGAGAAAGGAGCAAGTTGCAATTCGTGGCAGGCTGCTTATGCAAAAGAAGGACGTTGAAGACAAGCTATCCCAATACCAAAGCCAAATTTCAAACCATATGTCCAGGCTACAAAATCTGATAAGTGAAATAACAGAGAAACGTTTCCAGGGAGACCTGGCATTCCTGACAGACATTGAAAGGATCTACAACAGGTATGAACAGCTAAAAGCCCCAGAAGACTTTTCATATGAATTAAAGGAAGAGAGTTGCAATTTCCCTCCACATTATTTTGGCCTGCAAAAAATGATCAGTACATTTCAGGTAGATTTGACATTAGATCCTGAAACTGCCCATCCAAATCTTATTATCTCAAAAGATAGAAAAAGTGTGATATATAGAACGATGAAACCAAACTGTCTTGACAATCCTGAAGCATTTACTTCTTACCTGGCTGTCCTGAGTTGTGAAGGATTTGATGCTGGCAGGCATTTTTGGCAGGTCGAAATAAGAGGCACAGGTGAATGGTGCCTAGGTGTATGTAAAAATTTCCCCAGAAATGCTCTTATACCACCATGCCCAAAGGATGTGTGTGGGCAATTCCAGCAGGGCACTAGGACGTGTGGTACAGGGTACACAAGACAAGTCATGCGGATAGGTGTTTTTCTGGATTATGAACTGGGAGAAGTTTCATATTATAATTGGCACAGCAGGTCATATTTGTATACGCTCACTGATACATTTACAGGCAAACTTATACCTTACTTCTCTGTTGGGCTTTCTTCAAGATCTCTTACAATCAGTATTGTCCTAGATGAATGATGAACTTCTTGAAGGACCTTTTTGTGTGTGGTTCTATTTTATTCCTGTGTTCTTGGAGGGTATTGTAATAAAGATTTTGATTCCATTTTTGAATTTTACTGCAGAACATTTTTAGGACTCGCCTGTGTCTTCCCCTTTTCCTCACACCTGGGAAGGCTGATGAGAAAGCGTGGGTGCTCCATCCTTTGGTGCAGGTGGGAAGTTCAAACCCAGCAAGCCCCTAGTAGTGCCAGGCCCTCACACCAGCCCCACCCAGTAACCACCATAAACACTTCAGGCTAGTCTCCCCTCCCTGGGCCCTCAAATCATTCTGGGACGTACTTGGAGAGCCATAAATCTCATTATTTAAGTAATAAACCTTTTCATATCCTTCTGGGGGTATGTGTGGCATTGTCAGTCTCGACATTTGAATCAAATTCTGGGTGGAGGTCCAGCATGACTATGCAACCTGATCCTGACAACTGGCCCTGTGCAGAGGATTATTCAGATGTGGAGGACCCCCACCAGGGCTTTCTCCTCTGGCTGGGGCTTGTAATGGCTCTGCTGCCCAAGGCCCGTGTGCACTTTCAGCTGTGCTGCTTTATGTTGCACTTGCTCAATTCTACTGAGGCTCTGCTGTAGATTTAACTGTCCCAGGTCAGAGGTTTTCATCATTATTGGCATTTAGGGATAGAAGTATGGATTGAGCTCCTTCTTAACATGGCTCTGGGTTGTCTTTCTCAGTCCAGACCTATCTGGGTATATTACAATGAATTGTATGTCTTTTCTGGCATACGTTGTGACTGATGAGTTTCAGGGGAAAGACTCTAACCTGTGACCGACTGGATGTGTGTCTGAATTGGACACTGGCCCCTGTTCTATAGAGCACTCGGGAAATACTCTACCTGTCAGATATCCTGGCCCAATGAGTATTCACTCGTGTGGAGCAAGAGCAGTCCCTGTGTAAATAATCATTATATGAAGATTTGTAGTATTGAGGTCCACACTCTAAAGCAGATAGCTCAGTAGTACCCTCCAAAATGTCTTTATCACTTCTGCTGCATCTGCTTCTGCCTCTGTAATGACAAAGAGCCTGATTCTCAAGCTTATGAGGCAAAACACCCATGGCCCCCCTGTGGCACATTGAAGGTGTTAATTCACACCAGACCTAAGCCCCAAGTCATCAAATGCTATAAACCAACCATGGCCATAGAGGGGGCCCCTAACCTTGATCATAGTGATGTGAGGTTTTCTGGATTGAGAAGCTTAAATATATGAGCAGGGAAGAGAAGATCATCCCCTGAAGAATATCTGGGGTCCAAAAAAATATGACAAAAAAGAAAAAAAAGGAAGGAAAGGAAAGAAAAGAAAGAAAGAGGGAGGGAAGGAGCTGGATTCATGGGGAGGAAAGAAAAAACTGGAACAAAGGTATGTAATTTGACGCAATTGGAAATTCATAATTTACTAAAGTAGTTTATACAACAAGAAAGACAAATAGGCTTTTGTTCCTGTACAACCTAGATGCAGTTTTGACTTCAGCATCTGCTGAAATGCATCCTTTCTAAAATCTTCATGACCTTAATCAGTGCTGGTCCTCAAATCAGCTATACCTGAGGATCCCGTTAATTTAATCAAGGCAGCCCTTATAAACTTGGTGATGTTGACAAACACAAAACAGAGTCAGAGAGATATGCCTCATTTTACGCATCAGAACTGTTGCCCTGCCTAGATTCCCACGAGCATAACATACATTGCCTTAAAGTATCCCAGAGGAGGCTCAGTTACTCTGACCTGATGTGTAATAAATTAAAATTAAACAAAGTCTTTGGCACTTACAAACTGGCTTCACTAAGGGGACTCCGTGGATGCTCCTACCCTCATTAAATAGATAATATGGATGAATGTTGATCAAATGGGGCATTCAAGAATTACAATCCATTAGGCAAGATCTATTTAGACTGGGAGTGATTGTCCCCACTTCTCTGTTTAACTCCAACTTGGTTTATTCTTAAACTTGGAAAGAATAAATCATATCTCACAGTGAATTACCACAACCTTAATACTGTGGTCCCGCCCAGTGTTATTGAAACCGCTGCTTCTATCCAGTTCGCAACTTGTCAATATCTGGCTATTATAGAGTTGGCTAATATGCTCTGTTCAGGGCTTATTTTAATAGCTTTCTGGGAGTAGTTTGCCTTCATCTCCAAAGGAGTACCATGCATCTATACCCAGCAATCATGGGATACTCAACAGCCTTGTCGTGGCATGCAATCTTTGCAGGCAAGGTCTTAACTGCATCCAACTTTCTTCAGGAGCACATGTTTGCTGTACATTGATGACATCCTCCTCCACGGAGATCCATTTGAAACACTCATTCAGGACACACAAAGGTCTCAAAAGGAGTTTACACCAAGGGAAAGGGCCATTGTCCTACAGAGGGTAAGTCCTTAGTACCTTGTTGAAATTTTTGAAAATTACTTGGAAAACTGAGGACAACTCCATCCCGGACACTGTCAAGAAGATACCTACAGACCCTCTCAACACCTCCAAAATAAAAACAAGCTACAAAGGGGTTCCTGGGACCAATTCCAATGTGTGTGTGTGTGTGTGTGTGTGTGTGTGTAGGCTTCCCCACAACATCAGCTCAAATCTGACACTATCTATCTAGAGACAGAATCAGATTTCACAGGTAAAGGGCTCAGTCCCACAAGACCGACTCCTATTTCAGACACCAGTCTCAAGTCTCGGGTTGTGACTTGTACTTCTGACTGACTGATTATAAATCCGAGGTTCCCATGACCTCCTCAGGTTCAATTAATTTGCTAGATCGGCTCACACAACCCAGGGAAACACTCACTATGGTTACTGGTTCATTAAAGTATATGATAAAGGATAGAGATGAACTTCCAGATGGAAGAGATGAGTAGGGAAAGGTATGAGGGAAGGGGCATGGAACTTCCATGCCCTCTCTGGGTGCACCACTCTCCTCAAACCTCCATCTATTCACCAATCCGGAAGCTCTCCAATAGAGGGGTCAATGAGTTGTCCTTTTTGGGTTTTGATGGAGATTTCATTAGATAAGTCATTGGCCATTGGCAACTGATTGAACCTCAGACCTTCCTCCCCTCCCTGAAAACCAGAGAGTGGGACTGAAAGTTCCAATCCTCTGATCACATGGCTGGTTCTTCTGGCAACCAGCCCTCACCCTAGGGTGCCGTCCAAAAGTCACCTTCATTAACATAAGAAAAAATTCCAAGGGTTTTGGGGACTGTGAGCCAGAAACAGGACAAGGACCACATATATATGAGAAATATACCTTGGTCATCTGAATGACCACGTATATGTTTCTTATAAAGCACAATATTGCACAAGTCCACCACATTTGACCTTTCTCGGTTGTGGAGGCAACGTATTCCTCATTTATAAATTTTACTTAAGGCCATTTATGCTCTTTCTTACAAATCAGCCTACCTTTAATGAGGCCCCCTCCAAGAAAAGGCTCTGCTATCTATCTAGAATGAAATACATTAGACACTCCTAGTAGTGTTCCCAAGACATCTTCATGGTGGAGCCTTCAGCAACTTCCTCTCATGCTTCCTAGACACTCTGGACCGCCAGGATGGCCATAAGTTGCCCTTGGTTTCCTGATGCAAAATAGAGACTTTTTTTAGCTCTATGCTATTGCCACTGCCAGTCACATACTGGGATCTCCTAGAAATAGAGGCTCTCAAAATCCTGAGTGTGTAAGTCTCCATACCCAGCTGCCCTACATGCCTTGGATTATGGGTCCAGCACCCCACCAGGTTGGCACAGCTATTGAGGACTCCTTGCTTCAGGATGGAGCCAAACTTGGGCCATCTGGCATATGCTCCCTGCATACGCAGGGAGCAGGTGGCCTCCCCTATCTTCAGTCCCTTGCCACATGCCATGTACTAAGGGAGGTCACCTGATTCCCAAACCCTTTGCCTACCTAGGGAGCCACTTGAGGTCACCTGAGTGAATAGCAGTGGGAGTTCCTATACTGTATGGATGGAGTAACCATTGTCACAGGTGATGAGCTCAGTGGAGAACTGTTGCTTTCCATTCCTTTACCAGGATGGTCCTGATAAATGACAGGACCCAAGGGTCAGTATCAAAGGGCTGAAATTCAGGCAGTCATCCTAGCATTGGGCCCTGACCATTCAACACTTCAATATGCAGGTTTTTACAGACTCTGGGGAGATTTCTTTTGTAAAAAAAATGTATATTTATTTATATTTTTTTAAAGATTGACACCTCAGATGACATCTGTTGCCAATCTTCTTTTCTTCTTCTTTGCCCAAAGCCCGCCAGCACATGGTTGTATATTCTAGTTGTAGGTCCTTCTGGTTGTTTAATGTGGGACACCACCTCAACATGGCTTGATGAGCGGTGCCATGTCCACGCCTAGGATCTGAACTGGTGAAACCCTGGGCTGCTGAAGCAGAGAGCACGAACTTAACCACTCACCCACGGGGCTGGCCCCTATGGGGAGATTTCTTAGAGTTGCCCCCTTTAGAGTAAAGAACTCTAGCCTCTGAGACACCTGAAATACGAGCCAAGGGCACATACATCTCTACACATACTAAGGCCAGAATACAAGGCCTTACCAGCATCTTCCTCATTCCCTTTGGAGTTCTAGAAATTCCTGATGGCGACCATGGACTCATTTCACTTCTCAGAATACACAATGCAGGGCTCTCGAACAAGTAATTCGGTGGAACATCCACCTCCCTACTGGACTAGAGATGCAGCCTCATCCAAAACATAATGGTGTACTTAACTCATTTCAAATCCAATGAAATGGGGGCCGGCCCTGTGGCCTAGCGGTTGAGTTTGCGCGCTCCACTTTGGCAGCCCAGGGTTTCACTGGTTCAGATCCTGGGCGCAGACATGGAACCACTCATCAAGCCATGCTGAGGCAGTGTCCCACATAGCAGAGCCAGAGGCACTCACAACCAGAATATACAGCTATGTACTGGGGGGCTTTGGGGAGAAGAAGAAGGAAAAAAAAAGATTGGCAACAGATGTTAGCTCAGGTGCCAATCGTTAAGAAAAAAACCCAAATCCAATGAAATGGAACATGGC